ATCTCATTGTAAGTCATCTCCTTTCTCTGAGTAGTTATTGGACATCCAACTTAAAAGCCAGTAACTGTGCTTTACAGTACAAGCTGATTTGTTTAATTCTAACCAAAGATCAGAGCCTTTCTCCAAGAAAAGGCTCCAAAGGATTAGAGCATCCAAAAATTTAGAGGGTTAAGTATAGCTTTTCAAAATTATACAGAAGTATTTATCTCTTGTTACCTGTACATTGCATCCAGCTTACTGTAACATTGAAAACATGGCAAATTCTAGAAAGAGCCTGAGCTAATCTTGCTAAATTGTACATTTTATTAAAACATTTCACTCTGTGTTTTTATTTCAAAACATGAATGGAGAATTTCATATTAGATGTATGTTATTTCTTTCAGACTGGCCATTGCAGCCGCCTCCTTATTGAATACACTCTCAGGATGTTTAATAACTAACAAAAAGTCCTATAAAAATTCACACCACTTCCAAGAGTCCAAATACAAGAAGTATTCCTGGCCCTGAGACAGTTTAAGGCCACAATTCTTTCTCAAATCAGTATGTGAATGGTCTAATAAAGGCGTCGTCCTATTTTGACAAAAAGCTGTGACAGAAATCTATGACAGTGAGGAAACTCCAAAAAGTCAACAAGCTGAGACCAATGAGAACACAACTAATCTTCCATTTACAGCAAACATTTCATTAAGACCCAGGAGCACATTTATGAAAAGCAGTTCCAGTATCTTAAACCACAGTAGCCTGATTCCCCACTGCAGGAACATTTATGTGCATTTGCTTCCTTAATTACCTTAGTGGAATAAACTTAAACCATATTTAAACTAAAGAAATTAGACCTCATGAACATTCCTGCTTTTATTAACCTTTCTCTGAATTCTTACACATATTAAAGCAAACTGCCAATAAAACTTGAGTATCTCAAGCTACCTCTCTTCTAGACCATTGTCTTTTCCCTGGCACTGAGGTTCAGAAGCAGAATGGAAGCAATTAGCTTGCATTTCCTTGGAAGAGTATTTTGTGCACCTGGTGGGAGACCTGTCTCTTAAATGGCTGCCCCAGGAAAGGGGGCAAGTCCAAGAATTAAAGAGCCTCAGTAGCAATAAGTGCACAAGCTGTTCCATTGGCTCCGTGCTTGCTCTTTGTCAGATACAGCCTTGCAAAAGAGCAGAAGGCAGCAGAACCCTAAGAGGTTAAAAATAGTAAGGAAATAAAGATCTAGACTGCATTCTACAGGAGGGGATACTGAAAGCTCGTGAAGAGGGTTTTCTGTTTGGGTTTTTTTTTCAATATCCCACTCCCTGCTTCAATTTTTTCAGTTCACTGTAGGATACAAATGCTGCACTGGAGAATCAGTTTCTTAATTCGAGAATTCTTATACCAGTGGATAACACATTTGTAGTTTGCTATGAGATGTGCTGAACACTGGAAGACACAGATTTGGTGGATCCATATGCCCCTCTCTCTCTGTTTGGAGGTAAAGCACATCTGTAAGCAGGAATCAGAGGACTTTTGTTGTTGTAAGGAAATTTCCTCTAAAACAGCTCCTTTTACTGTTGGACTCATTTTGTGTCTTTAATGAAACACTAAAAATTGGAAACTTTTGTTCCCAGCTGCCTCTGTCCCTGAATCTGTATCTCTTCCACCACCTCAGATAGCTTGCAGGGGGCTGTGGTAATTCATTTGATCATGCCAGCATCCTCGCTGTGTTACCATGTGTCCATGGCAGAGCGGCCACTTTGCAGGCCTGGGGTTTCTCTCTGTTATCACTTGAGCCACGTGGCAAATTGGCAGAAAGAGTCTTTTACTCAGAGACATTTAGCCTTAGGAGAATCTCTCAGTGTCAGGTGCTCTTTGGCACTGGTCACCTTCCTAACAAAAGTGTGTTTAGCTGTCCTGGGGAACTGACAGGCTCCCTAGAAACAGGTAGAGGAATTTCAAGTGGGATGGGAAGGCTGCACACTGCTCCTTTTGTCCCTTGCTATTATTCCTAGGCATGATTGCCATATTCCTCTCCAGATAGCAGTGTTCAGTGCTCCATCCAAAGAGCCAGCAACCAGCTTCTATTTGTCACAGCTAGAGGCTCTGATCAGCAGGGGCACCTGATAGATCCAAATGGGATCTCTGCAGTAAATCACAGCTCACTGCACTAGACACAGCCATCCTGCCAGATTTGTGAACATAACTCCTGATCAAGTCAGCTGACTTTCACCCACCATGTGCTGTACTCTCACTCAAAGCACCAAGCTGAGAAGTCTCACAATCTCTCATTTTCTGTTTTATTTTCCCGTGACACCTGGGAGGACAGCCAGAGAAATCTAGCCAAATTACTAGAACTGTACAGGAATAGCACTGAGGAGTACTGCAGTTCTCCAAAACATGTCTAAGGACAACATGTTACAGTTTTCTGAGCATGAAGAACTTAGGAAGCTTTGTCTTTTCTCTTCCTCTTGAAGAACTTTCCCATTTCCTTTTAAATAACATCACCCTTTTAAATAAGCTGTGACTTCTAGCCTTAGTATTGTAATGAGACAAATCTCTTGCCAGGTTTTCCTATGTACACCACATATTTATTCAACTTTGTGCTTTAGAGACCAAGAAAGAATGCCATTAACAAGAAAAAATGCACCAATCTGAAAATGAAGGCTATTATCCTTTTTAAGTATGAGATTTGATTTCTGATATCACAAAGTGTGATATCCTCTGGGGACAACAGACAAGGTGGTTGATGAGAACATAGTTTAGGGAAAAATGTCTTCTAGAAATTTTTTAATGAGCTCTGCCTTTTTAAAAATATCTTTATAATGCTCTGTTGCAATTTGCAGACAATACTAAATCAGAAAGAGTTGTGAATATCAGTCAGAGCTGAGAAATGCTGGTGACAGAGCCAGAGGCACTAGTGGGCAGAAAATGACAGCATGAGTTTCAATTTATAAAAGTGCTCATAAAAAAACACCTAGGGACATAGAAATCAACGTGTGGCTGGCTATTCACTGAGTAGAAGAAATCTAGAAAATACAACAAAAGAGAAGTGTGGGTGATAGAAACTCCCACATTGCAGAAATACCAAGAAACAACACAGGATTAGTGCAGTTGCAGACTAAAATCCATGAGGACAATGCATTGCAGAAATTATAATTGTCTGACCTTTGGCTGGTTTTTGGCATGAACACACTACAAAGAATTAATTCAGTGCAGAAAATAATGTTAGCTGTAAGACTGACAAATTGCAGTGTGTTAAGAAAAGACCAGCAGAACAGATTAGAGCATGGAAGAAATGATTTATGATGGAAAATTTATATAATTAAATATTTATCAACCTGGGCAGCTGAAAATGGAGGCAGGATGGGAGGACATAACAGTCTGAAAGGGTATTAACAATGAAAAGAGAAGATGAGTTACACACTCCCATGTCTGCAGTATGCTGGCATGTGGGATTGGGCTCTAGTATGTTTTAAATGCTGAGCTGTTACTTAGTGAGGCAAAGAATCCCTCATTCCTTGAGCTCCCATTCCTCAAACATCAAACACATTCTGTCCCTAGTTATTTTACTCTCCCTCAACTCCTTTGCTCCCCAGTTCCCCAAGCCTGACACCATCTCTATGGTCTGGGATAGAGGGTTAGACCCTTCCCACTCAAATTTTGTTCTGTTGAAACTGCAAAGCAAACTTCTGTAACTTCAGTCTTGTCCAGATGGGATAAATCTCTCCATAACCAAACACAAGAAGGACATGAACATTTTCCTGTCTACAAAAGATGACCCAGCAGAGCCCACCTGTAGATGGGGGAAGGCAGCTGTGCCCAGTGTCAGGTGAGAGCCCTGTGACAGGATGATTTACAGCAGATTATTCAGTGTTGTGCACACAAACTATTGGCCCCAGCAGGCAGTGCAAATATGACACAACTACATACTTCTACCTCCTCTGTTAAACCTTTAACCAACTGATGGAAAAACTAGGAAAGTTAACCATGCCATGAAACCTTCACCAGGTACATCATTAAATGTACCAAGGCTGCTCGACTTGGATGTTTCTGATAGTACACTCCAATATTTCAAATTTTCAATCATTCTTACACTTAGTACTTTTGTGTTGTAATTCAGATGTATGTTCTCAAGGTATGAGATATATGGCAATAACTTTCTAGGCTTCAGCTGAGAATCCCCTGCATTTACACATAGGTGTCCTAAAAGAATTAGGTTTATTGAAGAATCTATCCAGGCCTGATAATATTTGCTCAAGATTTACAAAAATTTCTGGGAAACTTATATTCAGTATCTGAGAAAACTGATGAGTGATGATGCTATCTTGAGAAGGAGATTTCTTTTATATATAAGAATTACAAAAATCCTTGCACTACCCCAAGAATTCTTATAATGTTTACAATTGCAAGTAACAAGGCTTCTAATAATGTATAAAGTACTTTTGATTGTCTTGCTCACTATATATAGGATAAATAATGCCCTAGATTGTCATTTCCATTTTTCAAAGGACAGATTCCTTGGCCATCTGTTCTCTGGACCTGCAGTAAATGGATGTTTGCATTTCAGCCCCACCTGCTGGGACGGACAGCTACCCCTGGCTCCATGGCACTGTGCTTGCCTCCCAAGAAGGGCTTTTCCCAGGGAATTAATGACTGGGAACTGTCACACAAAGCTATAAAATTATGAATACCAAGAAAGCAAGTGGGAAATTAGTATTTACTACTTCCCATCATACATGACACACAGGCAAATCAGTGTTATTGTGAGGCAGCTTGCTAAAACAAGCCAAGGAATGTACAAAACATGAACGCTTTGAAGCTCCTTATTCAGATAGCACCATGACCCAAAACACACAGTGATCAAAAATGGAAAGAGAATAACTAATGGAGAGCACATTCAACAACATCCATAAAAAATTATTCATGTGCAGCTTCCGAGTTGAGATATCCCAAAAGTACTTCCCAGGAGCAAGAAAAAATATCCCAAAGACAGGTTTTCATAGACATGTAATGTTTCTTACCTTCATGGGTTGCTGAACAAGGAGAACTTGTTATCAAACCCAGGATCCCAGCAATTATATTTTGTTTTCAAAATTCCATACTTCAGAATGAAATACTTTAACTATCACTCCATCACCTCTCTAAAAAGCCCTCCTCTATCCTAGGAGTTAAAGTGCTCTACTGTACAATTACAGAATCACCAAACAGAACCACTGTATTTAGCCTATTTTTAAACAATTTTACTGATAGTATTTGACAGATTTACTCCCTTTTCAAGCATAACACCAAGGAGCTCTCTCTTAGTCACACAAGCCACATTAATTACAATGTCTTCACCTGGATTCACAGCTGAATACAATCCAGAACTACATCACTATTCCCATACCTTCTCTACCTCTTGTTTCTCAGATTTTGGGCATGTCTTAGTCCACTTTTGATGCACCACTTCCCTCTTTCCTTTAGCACACGAAACCTTTCCACATTTAAGATCTTTTCTTTAAGTTGAATACCTTGAAATTACCCATTCCCAAGTTCAATCACCTTCTCCTTTATGCTTTCACCCTGCTGTTCTTATGCTTTAAAGAAATTTGGCCACCAGACAAATCAGACTACTGAGGCTAAGAAGTGAAAAGAATATTAATTTGGCAGAAAATACCATCCTGTAAATATAGTTGTCACTTGATAAAAATCATCTGGGGAAAAAAAAAAAAGCTGAAAACACCTTATTTTTTTCTAACAATACAAAGATTAATCCAAAGGATGATACCTACTGCAATTTATGAATTAGTATTATGTCAATCTACAGTCAGGAATTACTTTTGAAGAATACAATTTTTATTAATTATCTTTTCAAAAATACTGTACATGTACTAATTATTAATTACTATGCATTACTATGCTATATTAAAATGACAACACAATCTCTTCAAAATGAAGGTCAAATTCAGTTTCTTGCCTACTACTAAAATTATTTTTTGCTTCACATTCAGAGCTGTAAGAAAAAATCCTAAATTATGTGTTCCCATTAGCTGCAGATGCTGATAGATTAGCACCATCAAAACAAGAAATAAAGATGTCAGTGTTGCTAGACAACCACTTCTCTTTTTAACCCTACCAATGACGCAAGCTGTAAGAGCAGAGAGAAAAATTTGCTGTCATGCTTTAGGAGCCTCTGCAGTTATATTTATGGTGAGACTATTTCTTCTACTTTTTTAAAATATAAAAACAAATACTCGTGGTCAGCTTAAGTGACACCTCAGATTTGGCACACTTACCAATAAAAGCATTATAAGTAAGGTTTCTGTGCTGCAACAAATTTATTATGGTATTAAATTGATGCAATACCAGTTAAAAAGTACAGGGCTTAAAAGTCAATTTAAATCTATTTTTATTAAAACATATGGATGGGACTTGAAAACATGTATTCTACCTGTGCTATTTCTGATTATCTAGCTGATAGTAAACTACTGATTTTGCTAGAAGCCTCTCTTAGTAGATAAGAAAGCATGATGGATTCATAGGTAAACAGAAATCCTGATGCTCCCCTAGGTCATCATATCTATTTCTAGACCCTCCTAATAAAAAACCCTTTAATGGAGAAAGCAAATATTCAAGAGCCAAGGAATGTTAAAATTCCATTCTAATAATTCTTTTAACTCATCCCTGCTTGGACAAAATTGCTACTGGTGATCATTTAAACATATGTTGAGTAAACAGAGGGTCAGCCTTAGAGAGAATGTTATGTGTAATATATTACCACAGAAGATTTAAGTGCAGGTATTTTTGGTCTGTAGTTTAGCTTTTTATACATCACTAAATATTGTCAAGAATTTTTCTTTTTGCTCCTTTTTGTCTCTATCAGCAGAGACATGTCCCAAAAAGGTGTCCTAGATCACAAAACTTGTTTCCCTACTCCTCTTCCAGATTTACATTGATCAATAACCATAGGTATTGAAAAAAAATGCACAAACACTCCTTCTCTCCCACATGGACACACAATAAAAATAATTATTTAGGTAACTCAAATGCTAATGTGGCCCAAACAAAGTTCTAAAAACAGAATGAGCAATGCGTTCAAAATCAAGTGATGCAGCAAATGTGTTACCAAGCTTGAAATTCTGTATTTCAGGCATTTGTGATGGGAACAGATGTTTGCCACCTTCAAGTAAATGTGAGGGCAGAGAGAATTGCCAAAAATTGGCAATTTAAGTGATGATAGGGAAATACTATTCAAATCCCCCGTTACTATTGCTGGTTGGAACAATCCGGTTAGAAGGAGGCACAAAAGGATGATGAGCTCCGTTTCAGAGGAGATTCTGGTGCCTCAGATGAGCCCAGCACCCAGCCATGCTCAGGTAAATTACACAGAACCCACAGTTTGGCTTTTTCAGCTGCATCACAGAGAGACCCAGAGCAGTACTAAAAAAATGGAAGAAGTTCCATTGGTTTCCTCACACCCCAGCATTTGGTGTCAGTGCAGTGCACATTCCAGAGTTTCCAAAAGGGAAGATGAAATGCAGTGCTATGTGGAGCCTATGAAAAACTTTAAATTCTGTGCTTGTGTTTTGTCTTGCACATATTTTTTTCCCAGTTTCATTTTTGCATTGAGATTGGGTTAATTTGGTGCAGGCCAAATTGTTCAAGCAAGATTTTATCATCTTGCTGCTCATCCATCTCATGAAAATACTGAACATTTACCTCTCCTGCTGCAGTATGTGAAATGACCTCAATAAACACTTTAGAAAAACAGATAAAAGTACATTTTTGTCTTGAAACTGGCCAAGAAAAATCAATTCTGCATAGATCATGTTTATTAGACACAGGGAAACTGATAGCCTGTGGGTTTAATCTATGAAATTATACACACTCAAACATTCATCTCAGACAGTGAAGCAACCCAGCCAGGGTTCACAGTGAGATTTTAAAGTTCTGTGTTCATATCTTCTTCCATAATATCAATGAAAAAAAAAGTTTTCAAATTATAATCCAAAAACCTATCAGTTTTATTGCAGTTTCCAGCCCATATTCCAGAGCTGTGGAAGCCTTTTCACAAGATCAGCTAGCTGGGTTTCACCTTCTTTTCTGAAGAGCTACATGTTCAGTACTAATGAGTATAAAAAGATTCAAAAATTTCATCCAGCTGAGACAGGCATACTAAAAAAAGAGGTAAGCAGAATTTTCTAATAAAATAGTTCATCTATTGAATTACCAGGGTTATTTTTCCTTGTGGAAATAGAAGTGAAGTTTTTATTTCTCAGCACATAATTCTGAGATGCCTGTTCTCCACCTATATTTTGGTTCTGTCAGGTCACTGCAAGCATTGCCAACATCTTTAATAAAAGAAGGTTGTCACCTTTCATGTTTAAACTGATGTAATAGTGATAGCTAATAAGGGTCATTTATTCAACTGCATGACTGGAAAAATGAACATTATGGCCTGTAGAAGGCTTAATATGCTAAACATCAGATACAATTTTCTCACATATAAATTGTCCTTTCAGTTTCAAGAAAAGATTTAGATGCTGATTACTTACCTCAATATTTTTCTTAAATCACAAAGCAAAAATCATTACAGAACACAAATTCCCAAATAACTAATATCTTTTTTTAACATAATGTGTTCATAAAACAGATTTTGAAACAAAATGAAATTGATAAATAAGCAAACCAAAACTATATGTTATTTGCTGATATTATTAAAAATAAATCAAGTATTCAGGTATTTGAAAAGAAACAGACACCAAAAGAGAAATAATGTAATGGGGATTCTTGAAACCTCTGATTCAAACAGGGAAAGAATATTGAAACAGAAAAAAAATAAATTACAAAAACCTCCCAGCCAAACTTGCTAATCAGTTAATTGAGAAATACTCACAGAGGAAACAAATTATTCCTTCTAATCAAACATCATTTGCAGAAGAAATGAAATCACATTTAACTGAAAAATGGCACAAAACCTGGTGAACAAAAAGATAAATTTGAGATAATTGAAAAGATAACTGCAAAGTCAGAGAACAGAACACGGATTTGAGGTCTAATCAGTTCCTTGGATGTTTTGAAGCATGGAAGAGTTAGTTCAACAAATTAACATGCTAAGAGGGGCACATGGAGACTAAGATTGGTAAATTTTATATCAATGTATTTTAAAGTTTCACATATTTTAAATTCATGCAGGTCCTATTTGGAAGAATAGGAATTTTTATTGCACAGGAAAATATGACCATACTCCCCCTTTTTTTTAGAAAGCCTGTGTCTTTGAAGTCTCAAATGCTGATATTGTAAAATAAATATTAATGACATGTTTCATTTACAAAACAAATTTTCTTTTAAGTAAAGAGATAAAAACTTTCATTGTATGCTGAAGAAATATTAGCTAGTTGGGGAATAAAAAAAATAACAATGATCAAAAAACCAACCAACCAAACAAAACCGCAAAAGAAAGAAAAAGGACTCAACCAACACCTCAAACCCAGTTTGTTTGGGCTTTTTGAGAAGGCCTTGAATCAAAGAACCTCTCCTGATTTATACTTTCTAACTTCAAAGCCTCTCCTAATATACACTTTCTACCCAGAACCTGTGAAATAATTTTTAATGCAGATGGACTGAATCTGGAATTCAATGTAACAAAGTATCAAAGAAAAGCAATGAAAAGGAAAAGCAATAAAACTTCCAAAAGCCTACACTGAAAGAGATTACCCAAGCAAGATGATTAATTAACTCCTTTTATTAAGTAAATTTACTTAATAAAAGTAAACTCTTCACAGCTACCTCTGTCCTGTTCCCATGGGCTGCTGATTCCTGTGCACAGAACGAGCCCAAACAGGACACAGATATTTTTGGTGGCAGAATTAAATAAACAAATTAGTAAAGGTTTCTGAGCAGCCACGTGCTTTGTCTGTGGCTAATAAGAGGTGGTTTGGGTCAAGTGGTTCCCTGGGTGTAGCTCTTCCTATACATCTGTTCTCCTGAGCATCTGCTGTCCATTCCCTGCAAATAAAAGGCCTACTGACAACTGATCTTATCTTGGATATCTTGGATAGCAGTATCTTTTCAACCATAAACCAGTCAGATTAATAACTATTATTTCTGAGCTATGTGCAAAATTACCAGTATTACAAATCTAGCTCATGGAGCTGTTGGAGGAAGTCCAGGTGAGGCCACAAAGGTGGTCAGAGGCTGGAGCACCTCTCCTGTGAATTCAGGCTGACAGATTTGGGTTGGTCAGCATGGAGAAATGGAGGCTCCAAGGAGACCTTATTACAGCCTTCCAGTACTTAAGAGTTTATT